TCGGCGTTCAGACAGAAATAGCCTCAGTGAATGCGCATGACGTCTTTCGATGAACACGTACCGTGCGAAAGAAGTTGAACGTACACACACGTACAGAGAGATGTGGCCCAGTGGAGTAAACCTTGGGCAAGATGTTGGGGGAGCACGGCGTTGGTGGGTCTCGCAAATTACATCGTGCGTGGCGAGACGCTCGCAGCTCCGCTGGGCTATGTTGTGGCTAGCGGCTGGCAGTACAGCAAGCTGGTTCGTCGTAGGCAGTCTGTGGGATATTTTTTTCATGTCCATGTACCCTTTGCACGTAAGAAATTTTGGCAGGAAGTTGGCCAAATATGCTCCCGCATGAACTTCCTGTAGATTACTTTTTTGAGCGACCAACCGGAGCGGAAAAGGCTCGCGGCTCATACGAACGCTGGGCCATGCTCGTCGCCATCAATGGCCTCGATCCAGTAGCGGAAATTCCACGTTCCTATGGTGGGGGCGGATATGTTCTTTCATAAGAAGACCAATATTGTACAAAATCGTAATGATTTTAGGGATGGGGGTTGGTCTGATAACATGATATAAATCACGATTTAAAGCTTTCGTGACTGCAATGATTCATCTTCTTTGGTTCTTTCGGTAAAGTCACGTAGAATGATAATAAAATAATAAATTGATAAAATAAAATAACACAATAATATTCTCACGACGTTTCGGCCACAACACAAGCGGCCTTCATCAGGTGAAGGGGGCGAGACTGTCTGGTAGGCCGAAACGTCGTGAGAATATTATTGTGTTATTTTATTTTATCAATTTATTATTTTATTATCATTCTACGTGACTTTGCCGAAAGAACCAAAGAAGATGATATAAATCAGTTTAATGGAACACATTTATGATCAATACATTTAAAAATAAAGAAACATTCTTGGGGTGCACGACACGGTAGCGTTTTTTAGAATTGTGACCTTTACGTTTAAGATCAATCATTAATTATATCTATTTTTAGCCAGGTAAAAAACAAGTGAAGACCCCAGGGCTCTCGATTTCGCTCGCGCGCGCTCCCTCGCTCTCCTTCGTGCTATAACCTGGTTTTACTCGAGCGGTTGAATCACAGGTGGAAGCATTTGAACCTGTTGATTCTCCTTCGCATGAAAAGGCCGAGCGCGGGGTTACACCAACGCCATTGTGAGCCGTCGACCCAACGAAGGCAGCGTCCTCATAACAAAAACATCGTGTGTGCGTGTGTGTGCATGTATGTGCGCGTGCGTGTGTGTGCGTGTGTGTGCGTGTGTGTGTGTGTGCGTGCGTGTGGGGAGCGGTAGTGTAGCGGTTAGCGCGCTGCGCTATGAACCTGGCGACCCGGGTTCGATTCCCGCTCACGGCCAACACCAGTGACGATTATCTGAACCGGTCCCGGGCCTCCCCTAGGTCGATTCAGCCTTAAATGAGTACCTGGTGCAGTGTGTAAACATTGCCACTAGGGAGACAGAGGCGGTCGGTCGTGGTGCTGGCCACCCACCCCCTCGTGTACTGTTCCGGCCTTCATATGTGCTCGCTAACAGCACTTGCCCCTACAGTCTGTTAAGGCTATATGGGGGAGCTTTATCTTTGATCTTTGTGTGCGTGCGTGTGTGTGCATGCGTGTGCGTGCGTGTGCGCGTGTGCGTGCGTGTGTGTGTGCGCGTAATGGACGTGCCCATCTGCTGTGCCGCGTGAGCCTTCCACATCCTGACCGCCAGACTTCTCCCATCGTTGCTATTTCGAGAACCAACATTTTTCGTCGATGTGCGTCAGTGTGTGCGTCCGTCAGTGTGTGCGTCCGTCAGTCCGTCCCTCGAACTTCTCGCGGTGCCAGTGCCTGTGTGGTCGGCCTGGGGTTGGTGCCCCCTCATCGCTCGTGGCGCCGTGTCGTCCGCATGCCACCCCCCCTGCCACCGTGAGTTTCTGCGCTCGCTCTCTCCTGTGTCACTCGCTCACTTCTCCGTGCCAATCGCTCCCCATTACGCTTTGCCACCGTGTCTTTCTGTGTCGCTCTCTCCCGCCTTGTTGCTCTGTGTGTGTCACTCTCGCCGTGTCGCTCTCTCTCCATGCCACTTGGCCTCCCACTGCGTCGCTCTCTCTGTCGCTCTCTCTATGTTTAGGTCTTCGTCTCTCTGTCACTTTCTCTCTGTCGCTCTGTGTCGCGCTCTCCCTCTCTCTGCGTTACTCTCCCTCTCACTCTGTGTCACTTTGTCTCTGTGTCACTTTCTCTCTCGCCCGGCACGCGCGCTCATGAGCCGTGTGCTGGCGTGCGTTTACTCGCCTGGTGCTCGCAGCCGCTGCTGTACGTACGTGGAGAGCGGCGGCGCAGCGATTGGCGCGCCGTGCTATTAACGTGGCGACCCGAGTTCAATTCCCGCTCGGTGACGAATATCTGAACTGGCCACGTGAATTTCCTAGGTCGACTCGGCCTTAAATGAGTACCTGGTACTCATTTCCTTCCTGTGAAAACTCGTGTGATAGTTCTGCAATGAATGCCAAGATGGTCTTTGTTTTGTTTACATTTGAGGGATTGACCTCGGGTGTGTTGTTGTAGGTGGAACAGAGAGTGGATGTGGTGTTTGTGAGGTGTGTAAACATCCGCGATTTGGGGAGACAAAGGCGGCCGGGCGTGGTGTTGGCCACCTACCCATCGTGTGCAGTGCCGGCCTTCGTGGGTTCTCACAAACATCATTGCCCCAGCAGTCTGATAAGGCTACACGGGGGGTGTATGTGTGTACATTGTACGTGTACAGCCTGATGTCAATCTACTGTCGGCCACTGGCGATCATTTGACTGTACTTCACCACTTTGGTCAGTGTGGGTTTGTTAAAGGAATTGTCTAGGACCAGTTCAGATATCACTCGCCACTGATGATTACAGCTCCTGGACATACAACTCAAACCTATGTAGACAGATGTATGTAAAGGTAAATGCAGGCATGTAGATCAGATAGACCCACGGAAAATGTTATGAACTTGTAGCTTTCAAGAGAGGATATTTAGTATATACGAATGAAAACATAATATTGAATGAGAGCACGTGTTTCCACGTGACAGTGTGGGGAGTGGTAGTGTTAGTGCGCTGCACTGCAAACCCGGCGGCCCGAGTTCGATTCCTGCCCACGACCAACACCGGTGACAATCACCTGAACCGGTCCTGTGCCTCCCCTAGGTCGACCCAGTCTCAAATGATTACCTTGTGCTCGTCCATTGTCACGTTGTATTCTGCTCTTGTACTGTTGTGTGTGTGTGTATTGTCACGTTGTATTCTGCTTTTGTACTGTTGTGTGTGTGTGTGCGTGCGCGTGTGAGCAGGAGCAGAGGTGCAGTAAGCGTGCACTGTGCTACCAACCTGGCGACCCGACTTAGATTCACGGTCACGGCCAGTGTCGGTGATATCTAAACCAGCCATGGACCTCTCCTAGGTCGACTTAGCCTTATTTCACTATCCGGTGCCGTGTGTAAACATCACCATAGGGAGACAAAGGCGGCCAGGCATGGTACTGGTCACCAACCCCCCTCGTGTGCCGTGCTGGCCTTAAAAGGCGCCACTCACTAACAGCACTGGCCCCAACAGTCTGCTAAGGCTACACGGGAGATTTTTGTCTTTGAATAGGGGTGGCACAGCTGTTCCTGCACGGCACTACGATCCCATTGATAACATCAGTGCCAGTCTCTATTTACACCTGCCCTGATCCTCCCATCATTCTACTCAGCCTTAAACGAGCAAATATCAAAATTAGCCATGGTGAGAAAAAGTCAGTGGGGGGCCAAGGTGCTGTCCGCACCACCATCTCGCGCGCCGAGCCCACCTTAATCGGCGTTCGCGAACGAGTATGGTCTGTGAGGCTAAATGGGGGGGGTGGGGGGGGGATGTTCTGTTGCGTGTGCCGGACCGTCGTGATGCATTGTGGCGATGACGACGGCGTTATGGAGCCGTATTGTGCAGCGTCGACTTACACCATGTTCCTCTGTGCGGCTTGAGATGGCCTCAGCGATCTGCCCACTGAACACAAAGATTAATTTACTACCGTTGCCCGGTTAACGTTTGGGAAAGTTACAGACGTATTTTGCGGCGAGATGTTAACTACCTCGCCTGATATAAAGGAGGTCGTGGGTTCGATCCTGGACCCTGAAGCCGGTATATTTGGAGTGTGCATCTTCTCCCGATCCCGACACCTGTATATTTGGACTTTTCTCCGGATCCTCCGGTTTTACCTTCTGCATTTAGAATCAACACGCATTTAGAGAATTTGGCTGCATTAAATTTCCACGTGCTAAGCCACTTCATTGAGCTACCATTTGTGGCCGGGTCGCTTACAAAATGTACATATGTTGAACTTCTTTCGCACCATACATAGCCAACCGTGCTAATCGGAGGTGCTCTATTCGCAGGCGTTATGGCATTGTGTGCGTGACTGTTTCACAGTCGGTCGGATTTGACTTTCACTGCCGTGAATAGAAAAAAAACGTGTTTTGCTAATGTGCACGTATCCCTGTATTTATGGCCACATAAGTAATTAATCTGAATGTTGTGTAAAGAATTTGAAATATCCAAGTGCCCTGTTTTTAATCGGTGTAAGGTACCTGCCATATCATGCGGCCCTAAGCCAGCAGTTGAAATTCCATATTCCTATGGTGGGAGCAAGTATATTCATAGGATAACCATTGTTGGCGTCCCCACAAAGCGGTACCCAGTTTAACAATCCCAGAGGGTTCATGGGCTGTGTCAACCCCCAACCCAACCGGGATTTGAACTCTCAACCTTCTGAGTGCGAGCTGCTCGCTCCACCACTGAGCCACCCAGGCCGGATCTGCGGTGAATTATTCTGCATTGCTCCGTACCGTGTTGCTCTTCTCTGCGTTGCCCTGCGCCGGGTTGCCCTGCCCCGAGTTGCCCTGCTGCACCACGTTGCCCTGCTGCCCCGAGTTGCCCTGCTGCACCACGTTGCCCTGCCCCGCGTTGCGCCGCGTTACAATATCTCGCCGTTTGTGTAGGCATGTCGTGGATGCGGAGCCTCTTTCAGCCGGGCGGGGGGCGGCCTGGCGGGGGGCGCCCCGCGGGCTCCACCCTGCGCAGGGGCCACCTCCTGGGCAGCGTGACGTCGCTGGCGGCCGCCAAGGGCCTCCTCAACGAGCCCGGCCAGAACAGCTGCTTCCTCAACAGCGCCATCCAGGTGAGGAGGAGAGAGGCGCCTCGGCCTTTCCCAGGCTGGTTACCCCTGCTGCAGCCCCACGTCTCGGGTCTCCGCGGCAGGAAGCCGTTACGCAATCGCTCGCCCACCGTGCGATGCCTTTGCGTTACCGTTGCAGTGCGGGCGCCGCAGAGTCGTGCTCATTATTGATCAGTCGCAAAGTGGATTATTGTGATGACGGCACCCAGTCTGGTGCCGCCGTCACAAATTTCCGAAAGATCGATCATTTTTTTCGCAACTACCCTGCTTGCTTTTGATTTAAAGCTTTCGTGACTGCATTGATTCATAGTCTTGGTTCTTTCGGTCAAGTCACAACAAAATAATAATAATAAAATATATTTTATTATTATTGTGTTATTTTATTTGATCAATTTATTATTTTATTGTCATTCTACGTGACTTTACCGAAAGAACCAAAGAAGAATATGTACCCTGCTTACTATTTAAACCGAGCGTGGTCGGTGCCACCGCTAATCTGCCTCCTGTCCAAAACGATGCCTGGCCATCACGAAGGGGGGGGGGGGGGGTGGCCTTGGCTTTTCAACGTGGCCAGTGATCGTCACTCATTGTTTGGGTGATTTGTTTACCTTTCTCGTGTTCTGCACTCCTATCAAGTTTTTGTATTGTTTGTTGTAACATCCTTACCCGCCCTGACTGGACATCTGTGAAAAGAGCTTCATTGCTCATCGGATTTCTCCAGTATAAATACATGTTCTAATTTCGATTGTCCACTCGTAGATGGTGTGTGCCAGACTTGGGTCATCAGTGTTGTCTTAAAGTGAATGGGATGGGCGCGAGCTATTCCCTTGGATCCTTAGGCGGCTGTAAGGGTTCATGGGGCGCCGCAGAGGCGAGATGTTAACTACCTCGCCTGGTATGCAGGAGGTTGCTCAAAACGCGTCGCACTTTCGAGGCAGAGTCACAGAAATGGGGGGAAAAATAGGAAGCTCAATTAAATAGCGTAAACCTCGGACTGGACGTGCGCCTCGCTCGTCTGTTGGCTGTGATTTTGTCCCTCCGAGAGTCGGGCCAAAATGATCAGAGGCCCTCGCCGGGCACGCGTTTTAAAATGCAGCATCATACACTCTTGTCTGCTGCCCCGTCTTGATGGGAGGTCTCTCCTTCTCCCCTGCTGTTAGCGCAGTCTAATCAGCTCCACACTGCCAACCCTGTCCCCTGTATTAAGTCCCATGTCGGGATTCACCTCACTTTGACGTGGAGACGAGCCAGTTTTTATCGTGTCGTATGTTTATTGTTCGCTTTCTGACATTACGTATCACCAGTTGTGTGCCAGCTGTCGTGTGTCGCGAAGTGAAAACGCGTACTTCCGCGCCTCCCCGTAGCCAGCAGGGTGTTGCAACCACGGTGGGGGCTCGTGTTGGAAAGCAAACGTCACCGGCAACACGCGGTGGAGTTTGCTTGTTGCCCGCGCGCAATTTCCCGTTTAGCTCGGCTTTCTCGTCCCTGACAAGGAGGCATTGGGTGTGAAACTAAAAACGCGTGTGGACACTTCGCGCCACCGCCAGCGCTCCTTCACGGCCTCCCGAGGATGTTCGTCGCATCGCTACCACTGGTTGGAGCCCTCGCAGCTGGACGTTGCAAATTGATTGACCGATCAAGTATTTGCGGTCGTTCTTGACCCCGCCTGAGCACGTCGACTTGAGAGCACGCTTGAATTTCTGGAGGATAGAACACGGATTCACGCCGGGCCCTCTCTCATCATGAGCCAGGAGCTTTCTAGGCCCAGCATCAAGCCCTTCACCAGGAATAGATATTCATTAGCAAAATAGAAGAGCTTTATAAAAAATATATATTTAGGAGCCTTGTCCAATTATACGGCCACGCAAGGAGGTATTGTAGAAAAAAATGGCGATATCGACGAGGGACGAGATGATTAATTGGGTTGTACGACAACGACCTTCGACCTTGCTAAATCAAGCTGATGCGTCTATTTATGCGATAACTCATCTGTTTATGGCTTCACCGCGTTTTCTTCATGACATCCCCGGCGCTCTGCTTTCTCGTGGCACTGATGCCTTGGGGCAAGTTTTCGTGCACAAAGGTTCCCTGGAGGTTTAGCGGCGGTGGGAGGATTCACTTGAAGACCGGCGCGGTATTCGAGCGGTCGTGGCGCTCGCCGCCGAGCCAGCTTGCTTTCGAGCGAAGAGATTGATTCACGCGGCCGCCTGCTAACGTGCCCAGGGACATGGCACAGCGCGTGGCCCCCCTGTGCGGAGGTCTTCAGAGACCTTGCGATGACTGGTTTTTATGTATCGCTGTGGAAATAGTGTAATTCAATTAAAGTGACGGAGTACATTTTGTACTAACACGCACTGGACTGTGTAACTATATTTAAATAAGCTTAAAATCAGCAACTGAATTTGTTGATATACAAGAAAATAATAATGATGCTTGCTAGCTATAATACCATAATGATAACAATAATACTGCTGCCACTGTTTCCCATATAGTATATTGGGAGGGCTGGTAGCACAGTATAATATAGATTTTTGGGTTAGTTAGGTCATTACATCTACCCCTCGATTTAAGGAATGCAACAGGAGGACTTCTCCGCAAATCTGGCTGTCGCCTGATGAAGCTAGTTGTAATTACTGGCAAAACGTCGTTCTCAGATTGTAAATGTTGTGGCTTTGCTCTCCAGCACACTGGTGTGCTGTACTAGTGATGAATTCGCCATTTTCTGTTTACGTGACAAACCTTACTAGTTGGCTGTGTCGGGTGGTGGCAGGTTTAACGACGTATTTATATATTTACACGATCTAACCCAAAAACCTCTATTATGGATGATATTGTTCGCGGAAGCCTACGTGTAAAGCCGGTGGCATGGTAGTTCACCGACAGCGCTGTAAACCCGGCGACCCGCGGTCGATTCTCTGTCACGGCCAACGTCAGCGACGCGCGGAACCTCAACTGCTCCGGAGGGCCTCTCCACCAACTCGCACCGACCGTAGGGCCCCGTTGAAGTCGGAGAGAACTCATCCGACTGAAATAGAACCCATACACCTACGACGATCATTTTAAGTGAGGCCTAAAAGCACGGCTCTGAAAGTGATTTTCAAAGGCGAGTGGTGTCGATGAGAGGGCTATGTGTGGTCAGTGGGTTGCACGCAGTACCCAGGTGAATTTGACTTGTCCCGTTTTTGTGTGTGTGTATGTTGAACTTCATTCACACCGTACTTGGCCAGCCCTGCTAATCGGAGGTTTGCTGGGGAGTCGGTCAGTCACGTTTATAGGTTCACGTGAGAGTTGGTGAGTGAGCCAGTGGATGGCTGCAGGAGTAGCCTCGTGGTGAATATCTGAAATTCCACCGGTGAGTGATCAAAGCGGGCAATGGCATTTAATATGCGGTCCGTGGTTTGAATTATCGGTTTAGAGTTATAGACTTTGACAGGTGGACACATGGACTCACGCGGACACCCATAGACTTGTATATAAACCCATAGACTTGTATGGAAACCCATAGACTTGTATATAAACCCATAGACTTGTATATAAACCCATTGACTTGTATATAAACCCATAGACTTGTATGGGAACCCATAGACTTGTATATAAACCCATAGACTTGTATGGAAACCCATAGACTTGTATATAAACCCATAGACTTGTATATAAACCCATTGACTTGTATATAAACCCATAGACTTGTATGGGAACCCATAGACTTGTATATAAACCCATAGACTTGTATGTAAACCCACAGACTTGTATATAAACCCATAGACTTGTATATAAACCCATAGACTTGTATATAAACCCATAGACTTGTATGTAAACCCATAGACTTGTATATAAACCCACATACTTGTATATAAACCCATAGACTTGTATATAAACCCATAGACTTGTATGTAAACCCATAGACTTGTATGGAAACCCACAGACTTGTATATAAACCCACAGACTTGTTTATAAACCCATAGACTTGTATATAAACCCATATACTTGTATATAAACCCACAGACTTGTATATAAACCCATAGACTTGTATATAAACCCATAGACTTGTATATAAACCCATAGACTTGTATATAAACCCACAGACTTGTATATAAACCCATAGACTTGTATATAAACCCATAGACTTGTATATAAACCCATAGACTTGTATATAAACCCATAGACTTGTATATAAACCCATAGACTTGTATATAAACTCATAGACTTGTATATAAACCCATAGACTTGTATATAAACCCATAGACTTGTATATAAGCCCATAGACTTGTATATAAACCCATAGACTTGTATATAAACCCATAGACTTGTATATAAACCCATAGACTTGTATATAAACCCATAGACTTGTATATAAACCCATAGACTTGTATGGAAGCCCACAGACTTGTATATAAACCCATAGACTTGTATATAAGCCCATAGACTTGTATATAAACCCATAGACTTGTATATAAACCCATAGACTTGTATATAAACCCATAGACTTGTATATAAACCCATAGACTTGTATATAAACCCATAGACTTGTATGGAAGCCCACAGACTTGTATATAAACCCATAGACTTGTATGGAAACCCATAGACTTGTATATAAACCCATAGACTTGTATATAAACCCATAGACTTGTATATAAACCCATAGACTTGTATATAAACCCATAGACTTGTATATAAACCCATAGACTTGTATGGAAGCCCACAGACTTGTATATAAACCCATAGACTTGTATATAAACTCATAGACTTGTATATAAACCCATAGACTTGTATGGAAGCCCACAGACTTGTATATAAACCCATAGACTTGTATGGAAACCCATAGACTTGTATATAAACCCACAGACTTGTATGGAAACCCATAGACTTGTATGGAAACCCATAGACTTGTATGGAAACCCACAGACTTGTATGGAAACCCATAGACTTAAATAGGAATATTAATTAGCTGACAGTCTTTCCATCACATATCTGCCTCCTCTATGGAAGAAAATAAGCAATTTTTTTACACAATCCATCAACCGCATGGACTTCTCGGAGTGCATAATTTCAGCAGCGTTGATAACAGTACGATATAACTCTGGACCTGTTTCGACATATAGTGTCTAAACTAAAACTAAAATCTTAACGAAGTTTGCTTATCGTGTGGAAATTTCTATCGGCCAAGTACTCTAAACGCATGTTTCTGAATGTGCAGGGAAAAACCAGACAGACCCGAGAAAAATCCAGGTTGGATATACAGTGAGGGAAAAAAGTACTTGATCCCCTGCTGATTTTGAACGTTTGCCCACTGACAAAGAAATGATCAGTCTTTAATTTTAATGGTAGGTTTATTTGAACAGTGAGTGGCGGACTAACAACAAAAAAATCCAGAAAAACGCATGTCAAAAATGTTATAAATTGATTTGTATTTTTATGAGGGAAATAAATATTTGATCCCCTCTCAATCAGAAAGATTTCTGGCTCCCAGGTGTCTTTTATACAGGTAACGAGCTGAGATTAGGAGCACACTCTTAAAGGGAGTGCTCCTAATCTCAGCTTGTTACCTGTATAAAAGACACCTGTCCACAGAAGCAATCAATCAATCAGATTCCAAACTCTCCACCATGGCCAAGACCAAAGAGCTCTCCAAGGATGTCAGGGACAAGATTGTAGACCTACACAAGGCTGGAATGGGCTACAAGACCATTGCCAAGCAGCTTGGTGAGAAGGTGACAACAGTTGGTGCGATTATTCGCAAATGGAAGAAACACAAAAGAACTGTCAATCTCCCTCGGCCTGGGGCTCCATGCAAGATCTCACCTCGTGGAGTTGCAATGATCATGAGAACGGTGAGGAATCAGCCCAGAACTACACGGGAGGATCTTGTCAATGATCTCAAGGCAGCTGGGACCATAGTCAACAAGAAAACAATTGGTAACACACAACGCCGTGAAGGACTGAAATCCTGCAGCGCCCGCAAGGTCCCCCTGCTCAAGAAAGCACATGTACATGTCCGTCTGAAGTTTGCCAATGAACATCTGAATGATTCAGAGGACAACTGGGTGAAAGTGTTGTGGTCAGATGAGACCAAAATGTAGCTTTCGATTTAAAGCTTTCGTGACTGCAAGGATTCATCTTTTTTGGTTATTTCGGTAAAGTCACGTAGAATGAGAATAAAATAATAAATTGATAAAATAAAATAACACAATAAAATTCTCACGACGTTTCGGCCACAACACAAGCGGCCTTAATCAGGTGAAGGGGACGAGACTGTCTGGAGGACAGCGCTGGAGTGAATATTATTGTGTTATTTTATTTTATCAATTTATTATTTTATTCTCATTCTACGTGACTTTACCGAAAGAACCAAAGAAGACAATGTAGCTCTTTGGCATCAACTCAACTCGCCGTGTTTAGAGGAGGAGGAATGCTGCCAATGACCCCAAGAACACCATCCCCACCGTCAAACATTGAGGTGGAAAAATTATGCTTTGGGGGTGTTTTTCTGCTAAGGGGACAGGACAACTTCACCGCATCAAAGGGACGATGGACGGGGCCATGTACTGTCAAATCTTGGGTGAGAACCTCCTTCCCTCAGCCAGGGCATTGAAAATGGGTCGTAGATGGGTATTCCAGCATGACAATGACCCAAAACACATGGCCAAGGCAACAAAGGAGTGGCTCAAGAAGAAGCACATTAAAGTCCTGGAGTGGCCTAGCCAGTCTTCAGACCTTAATCCCATAGAAAATCTGTGGAGGGAGCTGAATGTTAGAGTTGCCAAACGTCAGCCTCGAAACCTTAATAACTTGGAGAAGATCTGCAAAGAGGAGTGGGACAAAATCCCTCCTGAGATGTGTGCAAAGCTGGTGGCCAACTACAAGAAACGTCTGACCTCTGTGATTGCCAACAAGGGTTTTGCCACCAAGTACTAAGTCATGTTTTGCAGAGGGGTCAAATACTTATTTTCCTCATTAAAATGCAAATCAATTTATAAAAATTTTGACATGCGTTTTTTCTGGATTTTTGTTGTTGTTATTCTCTCTCACTGTTCAAATAAACCTACCACTAAAATTATAGACTGATCATTTCTTTGTCAGTGGGCAAACGTACAAAATCAGCAGGGGATCAAATACTTTTTCCCTCACTGTACGGGCGTCAGGGTTGGGATCGAACCCACCACCTCCTGTATACCAGGCGAGGTCGTTTTATCTCGCCACTGTTGGCACCCACTGCTTGAGCTGTTTTTGGTGCAAGCTCCTACAATGCTCTCAACGCAAATCCTCTCTTGTCAGCAGTCAATCCTCCTTGGAATGGTTCAATACAAGCAGAATCTGGACCGTTTTTTTTTTTTGGCACGCGGTGCCTCACCCCGTAGACGTGTGAAAGATTGAATTGGGCAGTGGCCGTCACCACCGTGGCCGACGGTTTGGCGACCGCAGTCGCGCCCTGGGCCCCTTGGTAACTGTCGGCCAGCGAAGGATTCGATTGCAACATCTGCCAATGGGCGAGTATGACCAATCAATCAATATTTATTTTACGTGCCAATATCGCCCTCAACAAAGTGAGGCATCGGTGTGCACGTGACAGCAGAATACGAGCGGTACAGGGGGCATAGAGCAGCAAACGGGAATAACGAAATAAATCCGTCACGACCTCGGCGGTTAACGCCGACTGGGCAAAGTAAATCGCAGCTGCGCGTGGAAATAAAATGCAACCGTGCGCAAATAATAGCATAAGTAGTAAATAAAAGTAATAATAAGTAAAGAAACGGGTTTTTTTTCCCTTCTTAAATTTTAGATTTTCTAGGAAGGCACGTCCGCATGGGTGTCAGACCAAGGAGATGACCAGTGTGATCGGTGCCTCCGAGCGGTTTGACGTGTATATATAAATATATAAAAATACCCGCGGGCACAAACTCGCGGTAGATAATCATTCCGCTTGCCGTGGGTATTCTCGGCAGATACGGCCGTTTGCACGCCGTGTCGGCGAGGCAGTGACGCGTGTGGTGTGCGTGGCGGTGCGTGGCGGTGCAGGTGCTGTGGCAGTTGGACGTGTTCCGGAGGAGCTTCCGCCAGCTGTCTGGGCACAAGTGCCTCGGAGACTCCTGCATATTCTGCGCTCTCAAGGTGAGGCTCGGTGAATTCCCCCTTCTAACTTAATCGGAATTCATCACCGGACTTGCTTCAAATGGACCGCTGGTTTTATTTATTTAAATTTCTATCTCCAATCCAATTCCATACTATTATATTTCACGGATGTCCAGCTTTAACACCTCATTCGAGACCCAAACATCGCAGCCTCCAGACTTTGACATCAGCAGGCTGATGCGCACACCCCCCCCCCTTTCGTAAAATGTAAAATTAAAGAGGCAAGCGACAATAGTACAATTGTGGCCATGCAACCCCAACTATGAACTGTATAGCAAACTCGTAGAGATACATGGACATACATTGAAGACAAGCCACAGCAGTGTGATTGTAGCTATGTAACCCAAACTATAGACCCATATAGTAAACCCACTGTAGTCTGCGCTCCTTCAACGCAGGAGGAAGAACAGCAAAACAGCACGAAATCTCTCTCTCGTGAAGCCCTCTCATCATGGCCGGCAAACCTCGACGTTGGCATTCACCTCCTGAGCATCTTGCTGCTGCTACCGTGCGCAATATTAGAATATAATAAGAAAAAGAAGAATATAGTTTATCTTCATGGCGACCATTGCCATTCTCTTTGTGAAGAGTTAAATGCCATCTGGGGCCCATGCTCAGAAATCTAAAGACGAAAATCCCCCATAAACCCTTAATAGACAGTTAGGGAAAGTGCTGTTAGCGAGCACCTATGATGTCCGGAACGGCACACGAGAGGGTGGGTGGCCATCTCCACGTCCAGCCGCCTTTGTCTCCCCAGTGGCGATATTTTTACACATCGCACTAGATACTCATTTGAGGCTGAGTCGGCCTAGGGGAGGAGGCCCAGGACCGATTCAGATAATCGTCACTGGTGTTGGCCATGAGCGGGAATCGAACTCGTGTCGCCGCGTTCGTGGCGCGGCGTGCTAACCGTTGCACTAACGCTCGCTCCCCACACACACAAAAACACACATGCGGGCTGTCCCGAGGAGTCGCCGTACCACCGCACAGGCCCATCACGTGACCCCCCGAGCCACCATCGTTTAAATGCCCGGGCCCACAGCCAGGCATCGATTTGTCGGTCTCCCTCAGCGGGGACAGATTTGTGGGTTCATGGACCCGGTTAGCAGTCTCCGAGTGTCAGCTCTTAATAAGTCCGTCTATTATGAAACCCGCTATTTAACGTAAGTGACCAAAGCCTAGTTTTCATTCGTCCTAATCGCCATAAAAATACAAAACGAAATATTTTTTTTTATTTTACCTGGTAAGGCCCACTGAGCTGTATCGCTCTTTTTCAGAAGCGACCAAACTACAAAAGATAGCTCAACAAAGTGGCTTACCACGTGGACATTTCTCGCAGCCAAGTACTCTAAACGCATGTTTCTCAATATGGAGGGAAGAACCGGACAGCCTAGACAAAAATCCACGTGGCCATAGGCGAAACATGCAAACTCCAAATATACAACAGGCGTCAGGGTCGGAATCGAACCCACGACCTCCTGTATACCAGGCGAGGTAGTTACCTCGCTACTGTGGCGCCCATTGCTTGAGCTGTAGAGATTTTTGGTGCCAGCTCCTACACACACACACACACGTGTGTGTGTGTAGGAATGGACGGACGAATACATTTTTTGGACGGGGGGCTGGGGGAATGGGTGGGGGAGAGGTGGGGCGGGGACAGCGGCCATTGTGAGTTTCATCCTTTGTTGGCCTTTGACCTCTTGAAATGAGCACCCATCACCGGGCGGAAGGACCTATCAGTCTTCCCGTAAAAGAACCGCCGTCGCCTCCCCCAACCCCCGCATGAAAGAAAAAAAGAAACAACCCCGTTCCCAAAACAGTTTGAAGAGGTACGGCAGTGGAGAGTAGGCGCGCGGAACCGCGTCGTTACTCACTCGCGATCGAGGCGCCGCGGGGCGAGTGCCGTTCATCGCTCGCGTCCCCCGCGCTGCCCCGAGCTCAGCGGCTCGTACCGTTCTTGCGCGTCCGGCACCGAGCGAACTCCTCGGACGACCCCAACCCCCCCCCCCCTCACTCGCAGTCTCCGTTAATTCGGCCATGCGGGGAGTTGCATTATGCCAGAATTGGTCGGCATCGTTCGGATTCGAGTGTCACTCGGAAATTGTGTTGATGCACAACCTAATGCGGGGTAGCGGTCATTTCACTTGATGGAAATTTCCCGATTCCATGGCAGTGATCAGTCTTATCAGTGGGTGAAGATGCACTGTTGAGTTTGTACACAGTAGTACCGATTATACTGACCTCGGTGGTAAGAATAAGGAATAGTGGTCAAGAATAGCGACCGAGTGGCAGTGAAGGGATGGAGGGCTTCAGAGAGGATGTCTGCCGAGCAGTTGGAACGATGAAATCACCTCGTGTGCAGGTGCTTGGTTAGATGGCATGAGGAGACCTTCATCCACCACTGGATTGATCATGGGTAGTGATGATGGCCCTCGAGATATGATGGGTCTGAGTCAACACGCGACCGGAGTTTGAACTCTCGCGATCTTGCGATCGTGAGCAGGCATCACTCTGCCATGGTGCCCGTCAGATATTTACAGAATTTGTCAAGCCCTCTCGCACGGGAGGGCACACTGTGTGTGCGTGTGCTTCCCCACACGGGGTGATTGATTTAGCAGCGAAAAAATGATGGCTCTGAGCTGCGGAGGGACGCGCGGGGCAAGACGTGTGAGTTAATGCACCTGCCGCTGCTGCTATCAATGGCAAGGACACCTGAAGTGCCGACACGGCAGCCAGGGCCGCGCTTTGTTCACGTCTTGGCTGAAATGCGGCGCATTCTGTAGCCTTGGTGCACTCCGGAGGATATTGCTCTGAGCTCCGGGTCATCGATGCGAGTGCCCCATGCTGAGTGCTCAACTTCCCTCTGCCAGAGCCAGCCAGCCTCCGGTTTTTCCGCACGCTTGGGGCACGTCTCTCCTGCGTTTTCTCCATTCTTCGATTTCCGCAAATATCTCCGCCTCGTTACCTCCTTGTTCCCTCTGTTAGTCTTAATTTATATACCTCTCCTCCCTGTGTCTCCATGGCTATCACACTGTCTCTCTGTGGGTTTATCTATATTGTGTCTGTTTGTGTCTAACAGTGCTTACCGCAACAGTCTGATAAAGGCTGTATGGGGGAGCTTTGTCTTTGTCTGTCGATGGGTCCGTCGGTAGTTGTCTTTTTCAGCTTGTCTCTAAATTTGTCTGACCGTCCACATACAGTCTCTTTTTCTGTCTGTCTGTCTCTGCCTTCCTTTCCCACGGCGTACACGTCGTCTCTCTGTCCATTTTCCTGTCTCTGTCTGTCACGTGCCTTGCTCACCTCGTTTGTAAGTTGCGCAACATTACGTAAGAACCTTGCACCCATTCCCGTTATCGAGGACTGGCCGTGTGCCTCGGTCTTCCTAGTGCTCTGATGTTCGTGAAAATGCGCCGGCTACGAAGTTCAGATCGAGTTGTCCCGAGGCCCCAAACCTTGTTTGGTTCACATTTGCCACTGCTGGTCGTGTGCATGGCTCAGGGCTCAAACTCGGACGGTCACTAACCACTGAAACACTGCTCTCCCCACCACCCGCCACTCTCGCGCGCACGCACACACGCACGCTCACACGTACACACTCACGAACACGTGCTGTGCCGCACACGCACGCACACACACCCGTGTGCTCCCCCAGTCCATGTTCAGCCAGTTTGAGTACAGCGAGAAGAAGGCGCTGCACTCGGACGCGCTGCGCTCGGCGCTCGCCGAGACGTTCAAGGACGAGGACCGCTTCCAGCTGGGCCTCATGGAGGACGCGGCCGAGTGCTTCGTGAGTCCCCACTCACCCCCCCCCGCCTCGCTCACCCCGCCTCGCTCCCCGCTCACTTGAGAGAGACGAGAGAGACGGCAGAGCACTCGGGGGGGTCACACCGGGTCATCGGCGACGGCCACCGCTCCCGTGCCGACGTGCGCGTGGGTGGCCGAGCCGGGGCCACGGCCCCATCGCCTGCCCCTGCTCAGTGCTCCCCGTCGGCCGCTCGATCTGGTCAGGGGGCGATCCTTCACTTCCCCCTTGCTGCACAATGTGCAGCACCGGCCGCAGCAGTCCGCATTTACGCTTCGGGCTGACTCCCCGGACGGCCCCACCGGTCCTCGTTGTCGGCCGGCCGTGCAGCGACGTTGAACATGGTTCGGTAGAGACCAATCATGGCTCTGCGTCTTTGCGTTTCAGTTGCTGATCCGTGTCCCCCGTGTCCAGTGTAGACTCGTGTCACTGGACACAGGGATACGGGCGATGCGACCGAGACGCTCGGGGTGGGTGGACGATGCAGGGTTGTCGGCGAAGACCTTGGTGCATGTGGCACTGAAGATGTTATCGACTGAGGCCTGACGCCGGGCTTTGCTTCACCATTTCGTAACTCTCACTTCTGACGCTGACGCGAGGCCTATGGGTGTGCGGTGCCGTGTGCCCTCCCTCCCGCAGGAGAACCTGCTGCTGAGAATCCACTTCCACCTGGTGGGCGACGTGCGGGAAGACCTGTGCACCGCACGCCACTGCGTTACGCATCAGAAGTTCGCCATGAACATGTTTGAGCAGGCGAGTGCGGGGGAGAGGGGACCTCCTTCTGTGTTGGGGCCTTTGTGTGAAAGTTTTGGCGCAGCGTGAAATTTTTGCCCTCCATAAGTGCGACGCCAAACCAAACTAAATGAAACTATTTTTATTTCACCAAGTAACGCCCACTGAGCTATTAGTCAATTTGTCGGAAGTGACCTGGCCACAAATGCTAGTTCAACGAAGTCACTTATTACGTTTTAGCCAAATACTCTAAAACACGTGTTCATTCTAAACATTGAGGGAAAAACCAGGAGGTAAAGTGCGGTGCTGGCCACCCACCCCTCGTGTGCCATGCCGGCCTTCATAGGTGCTCGCGAGCAGCACTTACCCCAACAGTCTGTTAAGGCTACACGGGAGATACACACACGCACACGCGCGTGCTTGATGTGGGGGTTTAATCACCGTCATCATCGGCCATGATCATTTCACTGCTGGATAAAGGCCTCCCCCCAAGCCCTTGTCTTCCCCCCTGACAGGGCCCACAGGGCAAATATTATGGTTGTATTATTATTATTACGCCTGTTATGATTGTTGTTGCCGTGCGTTGTGTAACACAACAGCCCGCGGGTCATCCAAAGCCCTTCTGGAGGATTGCAACTTACTAGTAAAATAAATAATAATACCTGCAGCTTTTGAGAAGAAAATGGAAAGAGGTCTCGCTCAGACAGATGGGAGTCACCGCTAGCGGTTTTCTTTATTTAATTAATTATTCCTCGGTGTGTTTGTTTTCTAGATGAGTAATTATCATGAGCAGCATCATGTCAGCCGCTTAGGACAAGGACTCTTCACTTTGGGATCTCCCCTTGGGAGCGATGCCAGGAACCCACGCTAATTTATGACAATGACAGAGATTCCCCGTATAGCGTTAATGGACTGTTGGGGCAAGTGCTGTTAGTGAGCACCTATGAAGGGCCAGCATGGCACACGAGGGGGTGGGTGGCCAGCACCACTCCCGCTCGCCTTTTTCTCTCCAGTGGCGATGTCTACACACTGTACCGGGTACTCATTTGAGGCTGAGTTGACCTACGGGAGGCCTGAGACCGATCCACATCATCACTGGGGTTGGTGGCTGCCGAGCGGGAATCGAACTTGGGTCCCGTTGTTTGTAGCACAGCGTGCTAACCACTATGCTACCGCTCCCCACACTGGATGTTACTCTCACCTCGTTGCACGCCACACAGGATCAGGCTATTGTGAGTTGGTCCACAGATACCAGAGTTTGAAAATCCCATATAGGCTGGCTTGGGGGTGGCATCAGCAGGCTCACAATGTGTGTGTCGGAGCACTGAGCCAGCAACATCCTAAGATTCATGGGTCGTGTCACCCTTGACAAAGACAGTTTCACCTGCGTAGCGTGTGGTGCCACGGTCCAAATTTGCCACATTTGAAATATTCTTGGCAATTACTCAATTGGAATATTCGTGGAAATCATCATCCCCTTACTGGAAAATCCTCGGTAGGACCCTGGTGCTTTCCTGGGTAAACAAGCTGAATAATAACAATAATATACAATAATACTTTATTCGTGTATTTATATAGCGTCTAAATTTGACCGCATCTCAAAGACGCAGTACAGAAGCAGCGGGACTACTTATAAGGACATAGAGAGGCAGTCTACATTGGTGAATAATTGTCAAACAACCCCCCCATTAGCAAAACAACTTGGGTTAGGCCTTCATCCAGCATTGGATTGACAGTCGGTTTACATTGTGAACGATGAGGCAGGATTGTTGTTGCCTTGAGGAATTTCCACAGACAGCACCTACGACATCCTGCCCGGTACGCAGGATGTCGTAGGTTCGATCCCGACCGTGATGCCTGTATTTTTGGAGTTTGCTTGTTCTCCCTGTGGTCACATGGATTTTTCTCCGGGTCTTTTGGTTTCTCCCTCCACATTTATAATCAGCACACATTTAGAGTATTTGACTACTGCTATAACATTCCACATGATGATAAGCCACTTCGTTGGGCTATTATTTGTGGCCATGTCTCTTCTGAAACATAGCTATATAGCTCGGTGGCCTTACCTGGTAAAATAAAAAGTTCAGTCTGTTATCTGCAAGCCTCTGTGACCCTTTCGTTCAGCCATGACCCCATGTGGTCACTGGCACGTTGGCTTCCAGCCGTCAGAGTACCACGGTCATCTCGAGACTCGCATGGCCACTCCCCCCCCACTTCAATTTCCCCCCCCCCCTCAATCTCCCCTCAGTGGGATGGCCATCACCTCCTCGTGCGGCTCTAAAATCTCATCACGGCATTTCCCGTTCCCCTACAAAGCGGGCGGGCGGGCGGGTGGGTGGGCCGGCGTTCGGGCGGGCGGGTGGATGGGCGACCACCCCCCGCGCGCTCTCATTCCCGCTGAGCGCGCTTAGGCAACACTGCGGTTATTTCACCTCGGGCGCCTGTGCAAAACCAAAAATAAAAAAAATCGCGTGTGCGGGGAAATAACAAAAGAACACAAGACAACATGGCGCCCACGCGGTCATGTGGGCACAATTGATCGTGGCTCTTGGATGTAAAGTGCCAATCGAAAAAAACCTTTCGGCCTGCTTTCTAGAATGCCGAGCAAAGCAAAAAAAATCCAACAACTCCACACAGTAACACACGTCGGCGTTGTAAAGGTCAAATTATATCCACGGCTGGGTAACGGGGACGTCTGGTGGGCGCGCCGCCGCCGCTGTGTGCCCGGGCGCTCACAGCGGGCGGCTCGTAACCACATTAAGCGCACTTGACGGGGCTTCACTGCGTGTGCCCTTTTAAAATGCTCGGCCGCTCAGCATCCCGCGTGGTCGCTCGGGAGTTGTCTTTTTTTATTTTAGGCCAGAAAACTTTCATCCAAGCCGAGGCGTTCGTGCCGTGTTCGGCATTGTGCTCGTCATAACTCCTCATGGGTCACGAGATCGGCCTTCAGAGATCACACGGCTTAGCTGTGGCCTTGCGTCCGGCTTGCTGATGAGAGCTTAAACAAGTGAAATGTGTGAGCCTGTTTCCCATGCTGGTAAAGTTGAGCAGCTCTTGGCAGCGAGTATATCTGTACAATTTAAAAGCGTGTTTTGGTCGTAACTCGGTAAGAGTCTGCCAAGACAACCCAGAGAATTGAACTGTTTGCCTGGCTCCTTGTGGATCTCGTGCAAACTGACTCAACCCAGCGACCCACCGACCCACCCAACCCCAACTCGCCTCCACCCCCCCAACCCATCGCTCGCGCAACATGCCCGCGCGACTTGGGGCGCCGGTTCCAATCGTGTTTTTTCGGGGTCAGCCGCCGTGGGGAGCGCTCGCTTTGACGGGGGCGCGGGCCCCGCGCTCACGCTCGGCACGTGGACAACGCTCGGCAATAAAATCTGAAGCGAGTGCGGAAGCGGCCGTTCCAGCAGCGCCCCGCGGTCGGAGCGCGCGCCCGTTGTATGTGCACTCACATGTTCACCACGTCTCCGGCCGAAGCGAAAATCCATCGCTCCTGGGAATATTTGGGAACGCTTGGCGATGTGGGCTTTGGCGGTTGGTCTTGTGCCGGTGTGCCGGTGTGCCGGTGTGCCGGTGTGCCGGTGGTCTGGTGGGGCGGGTGGGGGAAGCCGACGCTCGCTTGTGCGCGTGCCCATTGGAGTTTGTTACCAGATTTCCATTACGGTAATAGTCCCCGTCGCCCCCCCCCCCCCCCCCCCCCCCCCCCCCCCGGTTACGCGGCCGAGTGCCGTGCACTTAATTTAATTTAACGACACGTGACCCGACGCAACCTTTTGGGACGCGTCGCAGCCCGTGCCGCCGGACTGAGGATGCCACCCGACTCGACGCTCCCTCCCCCACTTCTCTCTCGTTAGTTGGGCTGCTCCTGCTGCTGTTGCTGCTGCTGCCGCCGTCGCTGCTGAAGCTGCCGGGCGTGTAGACAGAACCCGTGCGGGTGACGTCTGCGGAGGAGTGGCGCTCGTTTAGCAATCGCTCTCCGGGCCACCGTGCGCCGTCGTGCTGCTGCCTGCCAATGCCTCCGTGTCAGCTCGCGGAGCCAAGCGCCGGATTTGCCGCCCACCGCCTCTCCCCCCCCCCAGCCCCCCGTCCCCCTCCCCCGACCCCCGCCTTCTGCACGGTGTTCCATTTGACTGGCCAGCGATGTCACGCTGCGTGTGAATGAACACGCCATTGAGTCCCCGCTTGCGCCAGTCCTGACCGTGGCATGACGAGTGCTGGCTGGCACAGGAGAGGGAGGGGTCTAGTGCCATGTCAGCACACCGAATTTCCACGGCCGAAGCGTTAGCTTGGAATCTCGGTTTTAGTCTCCCGTGATTAAATCAGGTTCCCGAAATTGTCTGAGCGTGGTCACAGAAAATCCAATCGCGTAAAAATATATTTATCAGTTTGTTCCAGCTCTGGAAATAAAGATTTGGAATGGGGGCAACCCTTCCGTGACACCGTCTTCCTGGCCCTATAGCCTGACACAGGGTGATCTACTATTCAATTGTTTTTTTTATTCCAATCCTAGAACGTCAGTGAGCTCCTGGCCCCCCCACCGCCTTAGGACTATCAACAGAGGATGATAGGTTATTTGATAAAGGAGACACTTGGACTCTTCGTCCGACTGTACATATGTGACAGTGTGTAGACATGCGTGTATAGTTCACAACAACAACCACCACGGTGGTGGTACGTGCCGTGCGTGTGTAGTTTGCAACCACCACCACCATGGTGGTACGTGGCGTGCGTGTGTAGTTCACAACCACCACCATGGTGGTACGTGTCGTGCGTGTGTAGTTCACAACAACCACCATGGTGGTACGTGCCATGCGTGTGTAGTTCACAACTACCACCATGGTGGTACGTGTCGTGCGTGTGTAGTTCACAACAACCCGGTGGTGGTGGTACGTGTCGTGCATGTGTAGTTCACAACTACCACCGTGGTGGTACGTGCCATGCGTGTGTAGTTCACAACAACTACCACGGTGGTACGTGCCATGCGTGTGTAGTTCACAACAACAACAACCACGGTGGTGGTACATGCCGTGCGTGTGTAGTTCACAACAACCACCACGGTGGTGGTGGTACGTGCCGTGCTGAGATGGTGCTGTTGATGTGCGTCCCACGAGTGTGACTGCGTTAATGCCTTTAACGCTCCTACGGTGATGACGACGTCCGTTATGCGCTTAACGCGATGGCGGAGTTGCGTGCTGTAGTCACGTGGGCAAAGCAGAGTTTTTATTTCCCAAAAAAGAGAAATTCTAGGCCTCGATTTGAACATGGGCAGGAGGTCACCCACACGGGTGACTAGGGGGAGTTATATTCTTGGTTCTTTCGGTAAAGTCACGTAGAAGGGAAACAATAAAATAATAAAAATATAAAACAATAAAATTATCACGACGTTTCGACTGCAACACAAGCTATCATCATCAGGTGTGACTTTTCATCTTCTTGGTTCTTTCGGTAAAGTCACGTAGAATGTTACTTTACCGAAAGAACCAAGAATATGAATCGCTGCAGTCACGAAAGCTTTAAATCAAAATTTAGGGGGAGTTAGTGAGAGAACCATGGGCGACGGTCCCCCACCGGGGAAAGTTTGACGGAGATCCTTGGTGGCCAGAGCAAGAGAGCATGTCGTGGGGACTACCCTCCCCCCTTAAAGATGACCGTTGTGGACGTAAAGGTCACGTCATGCCAACACGGCAGGGCTGGGTTGCGCTGATATGCGACCGTGTTGCCGTCTGTGCCTGTGCAGTGCGTGTGCAGCCGCTGCGGGGCCACGTCGGACCCACTCCCCTTCGTGCAGATGATCCAGTACGTGTCCACCACGGCCCTCTGGTGAGTGACAATGCTGCAAGCGGTGGGGACGGGCGGGCGGGCGGGCGGGCGGGCGGGCGGGCGAGCGAGCGGATGCTGCCATGGCCTCAACATCTGTGCCTGGAAGGCATCCTTCTTGGCCTTGCCACATCTTCCATCCTGGCACTGATCTTGTTAGTACCAGGCTCCTGGACACGAGACTTTGCACATATGCCTCTTCATCACAAGTCCACCGTGTTATAATAATAGCACCATATTTATCCAGGAATTCCTAGACCTGAGGAGTATTTTGGACGGTGCCTTGTTGATTGTTTCAAAGTGTTGAAGGAGAACCTGCTGATGGTGTGATGCTCACAGCATTCATAGAGAATATTCCAGAAACCCACTTGCTACATTAACACCTTAGAGTCTCAAACACGTGATCATGTCCATAATAGAGGTTTCTTTGGGGTTAGATCGCGTAAATATATAAATGTGTCGGTAAAACCGCCACCACCCGACCCAGCCAACTAGTAAGGGTTGTCAAGTAAACAGAACATGACAATTCGTGACTAGTACAGCACACCGGTGTGTTGGAAAGCCAAGCCACAACATTTACAATCTGAGTACGACGTTTTACCAGTAATTACAACTAGCTTCATCAGGCGACAGCCAGATTTGTGGAGAAATCCTCCTGTTTCGTTCCTTAAATAGAGGGTAGATGTGATGACGTCACTTGTGTGCTTTTCTTGAGTGAAATTAGGGGGGGGGAATTATAATGTATATAAATAATTATAATGTATATAAATAATTATAATGTATATAAATAATTAGAATGTATATAAATGACAATGGGTATCCGTTTGCCGTTTGGGTTATTTTGTGGTAATTAACGTACATTCTTGATACGCATTATGCAAGGCCATTGTTTTTATACATCCTGTAGATTGTGTGTACTAAAATAGCCGTACCAACGGTAATCCCTACTGCAGTATGGTGACCTGTATAGGCATGCATTTAAACAATGTAGTATTTGATGATTCTCTTCCAAGCAGCGCTAAGTCTGTAGCTATCCGAACGGTGACAATTTATTGTATTTCTCTTGTGACAGCATTCGCATAAACTACTCTTGCTGCCGTACACCGGCGTCTCAGTGGTCACTCGAGACGCCGGCGTCGTGAGTGACCACTGGGGGGGGGGCGGGGCGACCATGGGGTGCGGCGCCATTCCTTTGAGGATCACGGTCCACTTTGAACGTCGACCACCAACTGAAGTGCACAATACATTCTTCAGAAGCACTCCCAATCGTCTCCTGTCCACCTCTTTATTGCATCTTTTTGCTCCTGGCCCAAACTTCCCTAACTGCCCCAAGTGTCCAGTTAGAGATGCCTGCTTGCCCGTTACACCGGGAGTCCGAACGAGGAACGCGGGCATTAGTTAGAGACGTCACGTTGACGGTCCAGGAAACCCGAGTGGCCTCGCGCCAGTACGCGGCGTCGCCGGAAGGGACGACGGCCCGGCGTTCCGAGACCAGCGATGGGAGCGGCAGCCGCAGGCGAGGACGTCCCCCGGTTGCGGGGCGTCCACCGAGGAGATGGAGCAATCAAATCGGCTCGTGTGTAGGAGCAAGAGAGATTGCGGCCATCGTCACGCACGTCCGACTAGCACGAATGGCCACATACGGTGCCGGAGAAGTTCAACGTACATGACTGGTGACGGTGATGAAGATGAGGTTAGGCACTGGTACCCTTTGAGAGGAGCGCTGTGTGGTGCACGCACAGCGCTAACCGCGCTTAACCGCAGCCCTGAATGATGGCGGCGCGGGCTGTGGGTGTGCGTTACGCCATTTAGGCGTGCCAGCATTGGTAATTGCAGTGTGAAGCGCCCCTTAATCCGCCTAGGCTATAATTCACGTGTCGTGTTAGGCGTGCGCAAAATAATGAATTGCCCTTAAATCAGCGTGGCCCCGACAGCACGCGCAATTTAAAGTTGTCTCTCGAATGTCTTCATTAGATAGCGTGCACGTCCTCGCGCATAACGCTTTCATCCGCAGTGACCTTAGCTGTCATGCATCATTAATTAATCAATTTTTACAAAAATATTATTAATGTCAAGTCACGTTACGCAACGCGCACGCACGCTCACGCACGGACACGCACGCTCACGCACGCACGCTCACGCACGCTCACGCACGCACACGCACGCTCACGCATGCACGCTCACGCTCCTTCTCCTGCCGGCGCTGCCCGGCGCCGCGGTGTTTGCGCTTGCTGCCTCCGCCGCCACGGCGACGAGGCGTCGCGCGTCGCCACACCCTCATCGCTGCTGCCGCTGCAGCCACCTCTCCTCCTGCCGCTCCTGCAGCCGTCTCTTCCACTGCCTCGCCGCTACTTTTCTTCCCTTCTTTCTCGGTCCCCACTCCGGAGTTGGTTTTATCTCTCGTCAGCTGTTCCCGTCACCGTGTCCTGCCCGTTTCCACTCGATTTTATTTGCTTTAACGGCAGCGGCAGCGACAGCGGTGTGACGCCTTCCCTTCTCTGTGCATCTGTGGACGGTTGAATGTGTGCTCGGTGTTGTGACATGTAAGAGGATAGTGTCGCAGCCTTCCTTCAGCGGACAGGTTTGTCGGAGGTTGAAATCCGGAAAGCTTGCCAGCTGAACGTCCCCAAGTTAACCTGTGGCCACTCAGGAGTTTGTCCCAAGCGAGGAGCGGTTTGCTGCACGGTGGACGTGTTTCCCCGGACGCTCGCGCTCCATAGCTTAGCGGCACTCCACGGTAACACTCTAGGCCGGTATCTTTGTTACGATCTGAAAAAAGATGCAACCCAAACAACACTGATTCCGTTTTTATGACATACGTTTATGGTCATCGGAACGGAGTAGGAAGAAAAACTAAAACAACATAACTATTTACCAAGGCTCCCACAAGGCCATGCACAGTTTGGCACCAGCTCAGTTTGGCACCAGCTGTCGTCGAGTGCGGTTGTGTCGTTCCAGTTCTCTGCAGTGTTATGCCTTTCTCAATAAAATTCACGCTAATCGCTTGTGTATTCTGAGATTCAGCGGTGAACGGGATAACACCATCGTGCAACTCGCAGACGTCACGGAACGGGAAAAGGTTAATTGCCATCTGTAAACGATGAGAAAACCTCTCATCATCCGCAACAGAAACATGTCCCTTGCCCACATTTTTATGATTTATTCATGGTGGTCGAGGACAAAAATTACTGCAATGCAGTTTTTTTCTGAGCGAGTGGTTTTGCATAATGCACATTGGAGCTGCTTGTCCCGAGCTGCTGCTATTGAATGACATGCGAGGTTCCGTTGACGTAAGTTGCGATGGAGCCGGATTAAACAATCCAGCATTCGCGCTGCCACACCGTCTCTAGAGCAAGTAGCGGAAATCTTTGTGAAATATAAATGTGTGTGTATATAGTGAATGTTTTCTATGAGCGAGGATTCAGACTTGCGCTAGGCAGCCCAGGATGCACGAGACTGCTCCGTGGCTGCAACGTAAAGAGCTGGCGTGTAGTCATTCGGCCACCTCGAGATTTCTTTGACAGACACAAAATTTAAAGAGACTACCTGCCGTTAGCTTAAACTCCACGATCGCTCTCTCGTGATTTTTTTTCTGCCCATTTTTAACGACTCGCGCGCCTCTCAGCCGTGGCAGTCGGAGTTTACACGCCCGCGGCTTAACGGCAGCGGAACGCTGCGGAAGTTTTGCTTAATTGGTACCTTCGGTGCACGTGAATGATGGGGCTGCTTTCGTGCGTCTCGGAAAGTAAATGGCCATCGATTTCAGAGAAACCAAATTCGGTGGTTTTGCAGGTTTTTGTTGCCTTAATGCACCGCTTGGCAGACGCCAGCAATGATGATAATGATGGGTAATGCATTAGCGTCGGGCAGCCGAGTGGTTGTCATGGGGCAGCTGAAGTGCCCTGGTGGTCAGCACTCAACGGCCGCTGGGCGATTCTCGGGCAGAGCTCCCGGTTGTGAATTCCCACAAACCGCCCGGTGATTTCCTGCGCAGGATTCTCCAGGAGCGCAACGTCGATTGCAAAGTGACCGTTGACAAGGCGTAGATATACGTGGATATTTACTCTTAAGCGTAGGCCTAGGCTGCCCGTCACGTCGCCCTGGTTTATTTCACGGCGTCCTGGATTGCGGAAGATTTTCCACGCCGTGCAAAAATTATTCTCCCGTGTGTCTATTATGAATGCGTTATTAATGCTCCAGCAATGAATATTGTAATGATGCGGAGACCTCCAAGCTTCTTTCATAATTCAACAAAAGTTATTCGGAGATTCTGCGTTCACAGTGGTGCACAAGCGCAGTTAACCAAATAAACAACTCATCGCGTTCCGTGTCAAATAATACGGCGGCCTTAAAAGTACGAATTTATAGCCGGTCACGTTTCGGGCACTTGGCCCTTTCTTGTGTGCTCATGAGGAAGGGCCATTGTCTGAAACGTTACCTGTTAGGAATGTTATTGAGGCCCCACGGTGGCGAGATCTTTACTCCGTCGCCTGGTATACAGGACGTTGTGGGTTCGATCCCGACCCTGATGCCTGCTGTATATTTGGAGTTGGCGTGTCTCTCTCCCCGTGTCACATGGAGTTTTTTTCCGGGTCTTCCGTTTTTTCCCTCCACATTTAGAAACGTGCGTTTAGAGTATTTGGCTGCTATAAATGTCCACATGATGAACATCTTTGTTGAGATATCATTTGTGGCCAGGTCACTTCTGAAAAAGAGCTGTATAGCACAATGTGCCTTACCTGGTAAAATAAAAATTTAGTTCATAGATTAGTTTAGTGTTGAGTTTTTGTGACATCCTTTCATCGTTAGTATCGCCGATTCCTTCACGATCGTTGTGATTGACGACTGATCTGGCCGCCATGTGGCCGGGAGGTCGGAGCCATCGAATCCCCGTCAGACGGTCAAGAGGTCAAATCTGGGGCACAGATACACTTAGCCAATCATCCCTCCATGCTCGATAAAGCAAGTACCACTTGGCGAGATGTCCATAACAGTCCTGGCTGTTGTTGAGCTTGCTGTGAATGTGACTGTTGTGCTTATGGGGATCGGTAGCGTCACGGTTACCTCACTGCGCTGCGAACCCGGCGACCCGACTTCGATTCCCGCTCAGCGGCCACCAACGCCAGTGAAGATTATCTTAACTGGTCATGGGCCTCCCCTAGACGCAGCCTCAAATGATTACCTGGTGCAGTGTGTAAACATCACCACTGAGGAGACAAAGGTGGTCGGGCGTGGTGCTGGCCGCCCACCCACTTCCTCGTTTGCCGTGCCGGCCTTCATAGGTGCTCGCTGACAGCACGTGCCCCCCCAACGGTCTGTTTGGCTATACGTGGGGGGGGGGGGGGATCTTTTGTCTTTGGGCTGGGTGTAATCGTGGCTACTACCGTGCTTGTGTGTGTGGCACCACAGCGAGCAGGTGCACAGCATGATGGAGCGCCAGCAGGATCACTTCCACCCGGACATGTTTGGGGACGTCCTGCGGCAGGCGAGCACCGCCGGGGACTTCAGAGCCTGCCCCGTGAGTCTCGCGCGCTCATTCACAATCGCTCGCACGCACGCTCACACACACGCTCATTCACAATCGCTCGCACGCACGCACGCTCACACGCACGCTCACACGCACGCTCACACGCACGCTCACACGCACGCACGCTCACACGCACGCTCACACGCACGCTCATTCACAATCGCTCACACGCACGCACGCTCACACGCACGCTCACACGCACGCTCACACGCACGCTCACACGCACGCTCGCACGCATGCTCGCACGCACGCATGCTCACACGCACGCACACTCATTCACAATCGCTCGCACGCACGCACGCTCACACGCACGTACGCTCACACGCACGCTCACACGCACGTACGCTCACACGCACGCTCACACGCACGCACGCTCATTCACAATCGCACGCACGCATGCTCACAGTCGACACGCTCACCCACTCCCGCAGTTACTCGCACGTGTGCACGGTCGCTCGCTCATGCTTAAGCTACAAAGACAAATATCCCCCGTGTAGCCTTAACAGGCTGTTGGGGGGGAAAGTGCTGTTAACGAGCACCTTTTGAAGGTGGCCGGCACCACGCACGGCCACCTTTGTCTCTCCCCCCAGTGCTGATGCTTGCATACATCGCACAAGGTACTCATTTAACTTTTTAGTCGACCTGGGGGATCCCCAGCACCGGTTGAAATATTCGCCACTGTTATTGGTGATGAGTGAGGATCATTCTCGGGTCACCAGGTTCATCGCGCAGTGTGTTGTTAACCACGACACTCCCACTCCCCGCACACACACTTATTCACAACCTCACACTTGCACACACAAATCAAAGCAGAAGGCACAAACGTGTCCGTCTTGAACCCCTACAATAACGGCACCATTCTAATATGCGCCACGGACGTTAACTGTGGAAGGGAATCTCTCTCCACGTCCCACCAGCCCCACAACTCGTTAACAAAGACACACTCATAAAAAATTTTGATTGGCGGGGGGGGGGTGTCTGTGTGTGTGTGGAGAGCGGTGGCGCAGTGATTAGCGCACTGTGCCATGAACCCAGCGGCCCGAATTCAATTCCTTCTCAGCGGCCACCAACGCCAGTGATGATTGTATGGACCGGCCTCGGTCCTCCCCTAGGTCGACTCAGCCTTAAATGAGTATCTTGAACAACGTGCAAACATCAGCACTGGGGAGACAAAGGCGGCTGGGCATGGTACTGGCCTCCCCACCTCTTTATGTGCCGTGCCAGTCTTCAAAGAATGTCACTGACAGCACTTGTCCCAACAGTCTCTTAAAGGCTACACGGGGAATCTTTGTCTTTAAATATCGGTGGCACAGCTGTTCCTCCACGGCACTACGATCCCATGGATAACATCAGTCTCAATCTACACCTGCCCTGATCCTCCCATAGTTCAAATCAGCCTCAACAAAGCACCTATATATATAAAGAATCAGCAGTGCGGAGACAAAGACAGCGTGCCCACTAACGAGTATGGTCTGTGAGGCTAAATGGGGGGGGGTGGGGGTGGGATGTTCTGTTGCGTGTGCCGGGCCATCGTGGCGCATTGTGGCGATGGCGTTACGGAGCCGTATTGTGCAGCGTTGAGTTATCCGGGGTGGGGGATCTTTGTCCTTTGATTACCGTTAAGCTGCAATGCCGTTTGTCAACGGTGAGTCGGCGCTTGTCGGCGTGATCTCTCCCCTCCTGTGCGGTTGTTTTTCCCACTCTCTACGGTTTCCTCCCACACTCCCCCCCCAGTGAGAGTCGTTGTATGTCCACGTTGGCATTCGTTGCATCGCAAACAAACCCCGAGCTTGCTCTTCTACGGCTGGTATGCTGTGCGCACGCACGCACACACGCACGCACACAAGCATGCGCACACACACACACGCACGCACACACGGAGCATGCACACACGGAGCACGCACACACACGCACACACACACGCACGCACGCACACACGGAGCACGCACGGAGCACGCACGCGCACACATGCACACATACGCGCGAGCGCGATTCCGCGCTCGGCGTGGGTGTCCCAGAAAAACGCAGCCGAGGCGCCAATTGCGAGCCTCACAAACAAAATTAGTTCACAGGACTTACGCACGGTATGCAACTTCAACGTCGTCAATTATTCAGCGTCCCATCTGCGCAAAAGCAATCTGACAGAGGAGCCCGGGAGGAAGAGGACCTGCTTCAGTTCTTTGGGACCGCGCGCGATTTATGGCGCATCGAGGAGTAAATTTCTACACGTCTGAACCGGCCCGGTGGCACGGTTATAAGAGTGACCTGCTCGCAATCGGAAGGTTGCGAGTTCAACTCCCGATTGGGTGGGGTTGACTCGAATCATCATTCCACGTTGTCAGAAAGTCAACGGTGGTCCTTCGGAGGCGACTTGCCACTGCCATACTAACGTCTAATTCACACCAATGGACTGTAAACGGGAGAGATGAGCACCGTCTGAATATTCACGTGAGTAGGAAATCACTTTGACTTGCTATGGTTTTGCACTGGGCAGCTCACTGCCCAGTGCAGACTTGCCCACTAAGTCAAGACCAGGTCTCCCAAGGCTAAAGTTTAAGGACACGGGCAACATGCACGCCTCGCGGCCAAGAATGAGGATTAATCCAAAGCACAAACGCATGACATTTAATCCTCACAGTCGTCCCCGCGTGCGTGCGTGCGTGTGTGCGTGTGTGTGCATACGCGTGTGTTTCTTTTAAGTCCATATTTCTGTTGCTGTGCCACATGAATGCCACTGTTGGGGCAGTATCTCAAAGGGCTCTCATCCGCCTAATTAGAGGACATTGATTGATCGATTGGCACGTGGCATCGATATGCAAGTCCTAGTTACATTGAAGCCAAGGGCAGGAGCAAGGTCTGAATTTTACTGGGCTTGGGGCCATCGTGAGGCCACGGCGTGGAATTATGCGGCCGCCCCATGTGCGTTCGAGTAAAAGTTTACTTGTGTAACTCGTAGGGTTTTTGTTGGTCGTTGTTATGTTTCACGGTAGACTTTTTGGGGTTCACATTTGGCTGTGTCGGTGTTGGAGGGTTTCACGACAAATGTTTGGTGGGGTCATTACATGGCCTAACCAATAAAATAAATTATGAAATCAAGTCAAAGTGTGTTTCTCCCTCCGCTAATGAGCAGTGACCTCTCTTGGCGGTTCTGAACTAGTCCACATTGCCATATAAGGCTATATGGGGGATCTTTGTCTCTGTGCCCGTGTGTGTGTGAACTGTGGCTCATCAAGTTATAGTTGTCCCGTCGAGGCAACAGGTCGTTGTTAGCACACGCATTTGAACCGCTCTGTTCCTGCGTTCAACTCAATTGATGGACCATGTTGCCTTCTTAATAGCTGGGAGATTTAAATAAGCGGATGTGAGTATAAATGGGCTGGAGCATGGGGGCGCCCGTGCGGTCTTAAAAATTAATATCTGTCACGAGCAGGGCTGACGTTAATGCGAATTGGATCAGCGCTGCTGCGTTCCAAGGTACTCATCCATTCCGTGACCGCATAGAGCGGAGAGTGATTGAGACCCAAGCCATTGCAGATTAATCTCTACATCGCGTCGCCTTTCTAAGGGGGACAATGAACATAGTGAAATCGTTATGTTTACTATTATTAATTTAGCTCCAAGGCAATTTCACACTGTGGTTGTATCGTGCGTGCGTGCGTACAACGGGTTTGGCGTCCTGTGGCGAAAACATCGCGAAGCCAGTCTCGAATTCCGAGGGGAAGTTTAAACAACTTCACTGCGGTCGTGTCCCCGCTGCCGTCTCACGCAGAGGGACGCCGTGCAGGCACGGCCATGCGGGCACGCCGGGGTATTGACGTGAAAATGTTTATCCTGTCAGAAGCCCCTGTGAGCGCGGATGCCAGGGACGTGGTGAGGCTTGGGGCGCGAAGCGAGATTGTTGATTCCCCGCCCTCCCCGCGTGTGTTTCGTTGCTGTGCTTGGCCGTGCCTCGCTCGGGGCCTCGTGTTGTTGCGAGGTTTCGCATGCGGTGCTCCGTCGCATCGCTTGATGCTGTCCAGGTGCTGCAGATTTAAGCTCCCTTGCATTTCTTCCCTGACGTGGGTCTGCCACGGTGTTTGTGGAGCTTCCGTTTGTTCTTTTCGTTTAATAACAATCACACATTTTGAATGCAATTGACGATGTGGGCGTCTTCCGCGAATCCAGAACGTGTCCGTGTATGTTTAACGTAGCTGATGGAAATGGCTTTGTTCTCGTCACGCCATGAGAATCGTGGTGAGAGGCAGGGCTCGCTGAGTGGAAGTCGGCTCGGAGGCCTGGGCAGGGCACGCGTCGTAAAAGAAGAGAGGGAAAAGCAAATGGGAGAAGGAAGGCGACGAACATGGAAGCATCAGGGCAGAGTGCGGTGAGGCAGACGAAGAGAGAGTGAGGAGGCAGCTTTGAGTGGTGAGGCCAGGACGTGAGGGAGCGTGAAGTGGAGGGGATGACCCAGGACAGGGATGGGATGAGTGTGAGCAGCAGGGAGACAGCAGAGCCCACGTGAGTGGAGAAGATGCCAGGAAGAGGAAGAAGTCATTACCGGAGAAGCATCGTCTGTGAACTCGTATGGTTAGCGGAGCATAATTTCACCTCATCAGGGAGTGAACTCTGAAGATGACACCATGTGACTGCTTCTAGAGTTAGGCCTCTACTCCCGTGTGCATGAGGGCAGTCTGTCGACTTAACAGTGGTTTGCCACTTGTCAATCGGGGGGGGGAGGGTGGGAGGTCAACCGCCCACCGCCTCCCGGCAGTCGCCCTGCCCCCACCTCCCGCCTTGCCATTAAACTCAGAAATGTAATTTTCGCGCTTACCACAGCGCTGTGCCAAATTAATTGGAAATACATTTCACAGGAATAGTTTTTATCAATAAGAGGGATTTTTTGGGGGTTAGATCTCGTAAATGTAAATGTGTCCCTAAATGTGTCAACATACGCCAATTAGTCAGGTTTGTCATGTAAACAAAACGTGCCAGTTAGTTACTAGCTCAGCACA